TACTACTACTACTACTACTACTACTACTACTACTACTACTACTACTACTACTACTACTACTACTACTACTACTACTACCAGCATTAGTAGTAGTGCTACAGAGCAAGAAATGAATCTCATTGGTGGATGCTCAATACCACTGCTTTTTGTAGGACTAACTCCCAACTGCTAGTACTTCTTACTCCTCAACAGGAACCCTGTCAATTAATTTWTTTTTGGGAAAATTACAATTCCCAGGTCCTTCTTTTTGATTTTATGATTTAGATCACAAAAAATGTGATCAAATCTGATCACAAAATTGCTGAATTTCTCTATTGCATTTTTTGTACTAGTCRATTTTGATCACTTTTTCCAAAATATATGCCTTTAATTAATGATGTTATTCATTTATATCTAGGTACCATATTCAATTTCATGCCTACTAGCTAGTAGTAGTAATTATTGGACCAACCAGCAGGAATTAAATATACATCTGTCACCAGTCATTACATCATGATGATAATAATGTTACTGTCACCAGGAATCCTTGCCGAACTGAAATGTACTATTACTAGTACTAGTACTAGCTAGTAATATACTTAACAATACTATAAAAATAACAATACTGGTACTAGTACAAAGTATAGTACCTATGAGAATTTTCCAACAGATAAATTTGTGATCAAGATTCTTGATCATAGTTGACTGATCACAAATTTKTTTTTCTGATCACATTTTTTGTGATCAAAACCAATCACAATTCTCAGCGCCATGAGGGGGGCCTGGGAATCTAATTCCAAAAAATTGAAATCGAAATGGTTCCAGTTGAAGGAGTTATTCACCACAAAGACTGATTGCACTATGCACTACTACTAAAAATCATGAATGTTGAAAAGAGAAAAGAATACTAGTAGTAGTAGTACTAGTACTAGTACTAAATTGGTGTTGTTTTTTTACTGGAATTATCAATGGAAAGGGGAGTCTGAGGGTGCAGATACTACTAACTAGTAGTAACACTAAAAATCCGCTATGAAGTTTTTTTACCAAAGGATAGTACAAAATGAATGGCTGTTTTTTGGGACTATACACTTTTTACCAAGTAATGTAGATTGCCAATAGTAGTTGCTGTTTCTTTAAAAAAAATAATAGTTTAGTTGCTGATATGCCGTCTGATGTGTGCTGCTGGAAACGCCCCTTGTTTTAGTAGTAAGATGACGTTTCGACTTCCACTTGCAGCGCACCGCAAAAGAGCTAATCAGCGAACATGCCATYACGTACTCGTACTACAATGAAGTAAAACTTTTTTTGAGTATGGTACGCACCGTACGATACGATACCATACCGTACGAGTTTCTCGGATGGCGGAGTTTGCAAACCACCATTTTTTTTAATTCAGTTCCGCGTGAGGAAACTGGTTACTACGCTCTAGTAATATTCAAAAACCTCATTTGAGAAGGATACGATCATCCTCAAAAGGATTGGATCGAATGTTGGCAGGACTTCCAATCGATTTACAAAAAGATAAAACATGTTGGGGCATCGGATTATAAATTCTACCTTGGCCAGGAGGCTTACAGAACTTCGTCGTCGTTCATATTCGTTGTTGTCCAAGTCACTAACCTGTGATCACCTGACGTCCTCTATCGGCACGACTGCCAAAGACTGTAGATATTCGACTTCGAATCACTTTGACTCGAGTGCATCTCTTGATTGTGGCCTACCTCGTTGCAGCAAAGAATTGGGGGATCCCCTACCATTTGACGAACATGCTTGTTCGGTCTCGCTTCCAACTTGGTGTTCGGTTGTCGGTTACGAAGAGGGTGATCAGGAGACGGTAATGGCATTGAAAACTGGATACCCACGCTTTGTCTATCATCCGTATGTCCTACAGCTGATGGAAGTGATTTTGGATATGTTCCCGAATAGTGATAGCCACAAGGAAGATTGCTTGGTACTTCCGACTAAGGAAGCTGCTTTGAGGTGTCAGGCCTTCTTGCGGGAGAGTTTGGAACAGAACAATATCGGGAACTCTTTTTCGAGTACTCATTCTGCTACTCGGGTAGACAATGCTTTAATAGAGCGACCAGAATGTGAGTCAACTTCGATGGGAAAAGAGTCTGGTTCATTCAACAGTAAAATTCGAGTGGTCTCTTTAGAAGATGCAGGTGTCCATGCTGTGTTGTTCCCCGCCGAAACATCCGCTGGGACTGAAGCCAAGGCTTATTGGCAACACACAGGTGAACTCGTCAGTAGTCGACGAGCTGAAAAAGGACTGAATGTGTTGGGAAAACAATTTTCGAAACGAGTTACGTGTTGTCCAATGGAAGGAACACCGACTATCTTGCATTCCTGTGACACCTCGATCTGTTCGAACGAAGCTACATCGGGAAGTGAAAGTGCATTGTCACACGAACAACTCAAAAAGCGAATATCTAGTTGGACAAATGTAGAGAGCGACAACGTGTTTTTGGTTCCTAGTGGTATGGCTACCATTTATAAATCACTAAGATCAGCTCGTCGATATCAGCTGGCCAAGAATCCATCCTCGCTTGGCGGAACATCGATTGTCTATGGATTTCCCTACCTTGATACCCTTAAGATGTGCTCTCGGAAAGAATTCTCTCCTGCTGGCGTCGAATTCTTTGGGAAGGGTGACGAAAACGACTTGCAACTACTCACGCGAATATTACAAGAAAGGGAGGAGAGCAGCTGGTCTGCCGTGTTCACTGAAGTCCCCTCCAATCCTTTGTTGCAATGTCCTGATTTAGAAGCTCTGAGGAGCTTAGCGGATGAACACGATTTTTGCGTTGTTGTGGATGACACGATTGGAAATTTTCTCAATATTGACCTCCTCCAATCCGGATTGGCTGATGCTCTATGTACATCACTGACCAAACTTGTTTCGGGACGCGGAGATGCAATTGCAGGAAGCGTCATCACCAATCCAAACACAGAAAAGGGAAGGTGGATGAAGGAGGATTTGGAAAAAGATACAGATATTTTTGGAGGCCTACACGAAGCTGATGCTATGGCTATGGTCCACAATTCCGTGGACTTTCCAGCACGAAATTCCCGGATAAATGAGACGACTGAACTCTTGGCAGACTTTATGAACGATCACCCTGATGTTGATGTCGTGTGGTACCCTAAATTCGTGGCGCCCCTTTTTACGAGATACCAACAAGCAGACGGTGGCTTTGGAGGCCTATTCTCTATACACTTGGGTCCCCACATCTGCCAGAGAACTTTCTATGATCTATTGGACGTAGCGAAGGGGCCATCGTTGGGCACGAATTTCACATTGGTCTGTCCGTACACTTTGTTAGCGCACTACCACGAATTGGACTTCGCCATGAGCCACAATGTTCCGCCAAATCTGATCCGAATAGCGGTGGGCCTCGAAGACTTCGACGAATTGAAAGAAAAGTTCGCTTTTGCACTTGACAAGAGTCGACTACACCCAAAACTCCCATGCTCATGAATGATGTCGTAAAAAAWTTTATTAGACATAATTTTGACTCGCCGCGACTCAAACTCTTCGGCGTCATAAGAAACATATTAATTATTGATTTTGATGAAGCATAAAATGCAGAAAAGAAGCGCAATCTTCTTGAGCAAATGCATAGATTATGGTCATACATTGCTTCTCGGATTCAAGTTGATGATAGCTTTCACAATTGTCGCACTCTTTTTGTGTTTTAAAAATATTACTTATGCCTTCGGACCGATAAACTCTCCATCAGCCTTGTGACTAACACTGCTAATTGTTCCTCCACTTTCCTTGAAATCAGCCCAGCTTTGGTAATGAGCGCAAGTCTTGTGAAAATCGACAGCTTCTTTGTTCTCGTACACTTCATAGAACCAGAATTTGTTGTCTTGGCTCTGGTCTCGCAGGACATCTTCGCAATCAGTTATGGTGAAATAGAGGAAAGTACATACAGAGACAATAAGAACATTATGTGTGAAAGAGAAATTAACACAACGAGAATTCCAAGGAGGTTTCGAACCCTTTAGCCCCAGCATCAAACAACAGTTTTGTTTGCATCATCCTCTAGGACACTACTGTGGTGCACACCATTCGGCAATCGTACAACATACCGAAACGGATGCAACCGGGTTCCTTGCGTGAGCACTCCGCATTGTTTTGGATCATTTTCAGGAAGTCCTCCATTCGGTCGGGTTGGATTTCAGCCTCTACAATGACTGAAAATGGTTTCGACGACATTTTTAGGCTGGTGGTAGAGTAAGAATTTCGAGCTAGAGATGATACCGAGGATGCGGCCTTGTTGCTAAATGCGGAAGATGATCGAAGCAGTAGAAGGCAAGAAGAGGTCAAGAGCTTCATGGCTGATAAACTGCTACGGTACTGTATGAGATAGTATGTGAATGTGCCCAGGTATTTCGGGAAGCGAAATGTGTTCTGCTGTGCCAAAAGCTACAACTCGTACTACCGGGATTCTCTGTTCACGTGGGGAAGAGAGAACCAATCTTTTAGGTACCGAACGGGCACATAGCGTCGTTGTAAATAGGAGCACGAGTACATACCACACAAACCTCCCCAACAAGCCGTCAAAAAAAATCTTCAAGGATCTCTAAGATCTCAGATATTTTTCCTACGGTACAGTAGTACGAAATTGGACTGGTACGTATCGTACGTATTAGTACCTACCATGCAACATACTGTACTCAATAGGGGTGTGCAACGTTCAACGCAACGCTATTTGACGTTCGCTGCAATATCAACTATCAGGGTTAATTGTTGTCGAACGAAACCTCAGAGGGGTCTATTTAGTCATTCTGAGATAGTCGCGTATAATCGTGACTCGAAAAGTGTAGCCATGGCCAACCAAAAAAACTGCAGTCATAGGATAAGTTACCGTACGTACCGTACGGCTCGTACTGAGTAGTGACTGATAAGAAAAAGATGATGATGTACCATGAGTTGATACACAGTACTCGTAGTACGTACCGTACCTCCTGGTACCACCAGAAGTTGACAGCCGTGATTGACGCACGAAAAGAAATAAAAAAATGAATACGGTACGTACTTACTTGTACGATACWACGAAGTACAGGAATCAGTGTTGTTGGTGTGTTCTTCATTTGTCGACTGTTACTGTAAATACCATAGTACTTCTAGTCCACTTGGGATACAACCAATTGACCTATTACAATTCTCGAGTTGCTCAGGAACAAACGAAACAGAAGAAAATGACACCGAGGAGATTAGTTGCTGCATCCTTGCTGCTGGTCTCTCTGAAGACGGCCCCGCTGAGCGCGTGGGTGCCCATGGCAACGCCCAACAATGATTTCACAACCACGGCTCTGTATGCCAAAGAACAAGCTCCACCGAAACGGCGATTTGCGCAAGCTAGAACTACAAAGCAGCCTTATGCAACGGATTCAAAGCTTGGCTCGATGCACAAAGAAAGAATTAAAACAGCTGGTCGAAAGGGGACAAAGAAGTTTGTTGACCCTTGCAAAGTATTCGTTGGAAACCTCCCGTTCGATGTCGACAAAAACGACCTTGCACAATTTGTATTGGACACAATGGGACAAAACCGGATGATATTGCACTCCTTTAAGGTAATCGAAGATTGGAAAACAGGAAAGAGCAAGGGTTATGGATTCATAGAATTTACCGACCCGATTTTTGCCACCGTGTGCATGGACGTATGTGACGGTAAGATGTTGAATGGACGACCGGTTAAAATTTCACAAGGAAAGAAGAGAGACAAAGAAGATCAAGTTTTCGTCAACAAAAAGAGAAAGAAGGCCGAAACTGACGAAGATAAGGCCATATCAAGCGCGCTAGACGAAGCAGAAGATGATACCGAAGAACTTGAAATCGACGACGACGGAGTTGCAATATTCGATGACATCAATGACGATGACATCGAACTTGATGCTATGCTTTTTGGACTGGATTTGGATGACGACGATGAACAGGACGACGGAGTGTTCCTGGAGCGAGGGTCCAAATACGAATACGACGATGATGAAAATCTGAATAGAGAACAAAGAAGAGATGCTGCTCGAAGGCGTAAGAAGAAGAAGCTGCCGTCAAAGGGATTTGGGTAAAACCAAAAGGATAAAGCCACCGCAAAATGTTCAATGTGACGAGCAGCAAGCTTTTGTGATGGAAAAATGAAAGAATTTGTATTTTCTATGATCCTGAAGTCTACCTAMTCAATTTGAGTAGCACATGGAAATGTAGGCTCAAGATCTTATTTTGCGACTTTTTAAAATTTGGGTTGCATACAAGAATAGAGCGATAGATCTTTGGCGGGTAGTTAGAGATAACAGTAAGAGTACTCCACAGTAAAACCGAGTAATGTTCGCAGTTTCAAAAATGTAGCAAACAGGATATCCACACTAGTTTTGAAAATGCTGGAAACCTGTTGTGTACTTGGGTACACCACTAGAAAAATCCGTAGAMGAATTCGAACATTTTWGTGATAGTGATTCGACAGTGTAAATGATGACCATATGCTTCCTTTTGGACTTGGAGGCTTCTTTCGGTGCTTTTCCCTAAATTTTGGTAGGAAGAGAAAATTCAAGCAGTTCCGGAAATGTAGAAAAGAGGCCTCCTATACCACTAAACAACTCTTGAATGAAGCCGAACATAATACACCAACAACTTCGACGGCGTTCGTGGCTGACGTACTCTTGGTTTTGCAACAAAGGCTTCCTTTTGTGCTTTTCCATGTGATTTGGTAACAACGAAAATGTGGCCGATTTTTCCAGTTCGATGAGTTCTCTATGCAACGTTTTAATATTTTGTCCAAGACATCACCAATAGCAATAATTATCTAAGTCTCACTGAAAATAAAAGTGCACTAACGCTTGTCCACTCAGAGTACCGTAGTCAGCGGACGCTTCGTTGTGGAGATGCAACGGTTCCAATAGTGGCTAACGACATCGATATTTTTGGCTGTTTTCCCTTTGTTGTAGAAGAATCGAAGTACGACAATTGGCGGACCCACAAATGAAAGTGCGATGTCCCTACAAACGCATTCCGATTTGTTGGAGACGTCTTGGTCATTGAGATTTTAGTATCACTATGGTGGACATGGTGGTTGGGAATGATGATTGACAATCACGAAGTATGAAGTTTTCGAAGTGCTGTCCCTGTAGAGCCTAGTAGGAAACATACAGTTACAGGGACCTCGACGTAAAACTGGTACGTTAATACCCCGCACGTTCGTATCATCATCACTCCTTCACTGCAGCTGTGATTTGCCACATTCTCGACTATGCAGAAAGTGAGATTGTAAATCAAGAATGAGACTAGGAAGTTATTGGATTTCCTTGGCTTTCGTTTACCTTGCTTTAGTGAGGAGAAGTATTGGAGGGGAAAGCACATTGGATCTAGAGATTAGGGGGGAAAATGCCACCGGTTTGCCGAGCGGACTCTATTGGAACAACTTGAGTGTGCAGACTTCGGATGGCACATTCTTACTCCGTCGTTGTTGCGGTTGTGTCGAGAACGGACACATCTGTGGGATTCTTGGACCAAGCGGAGCTGGAAAATCAACGACTCTTTCTGCTTTCAGTGGGACTATATCCCCGTCGAGTGGATTGGAAGTAAATGGCGAGATCTTTTACTTTGACAAACCAATGCAAACGATGGAGCCGCTGACGGTACAAGGAGGACACGTAGCATGGATGCAACAGAAAGACAACTTCTTCGATATGCTTACGGTTCAAGAAACACTCGAGTTAGCTGCTTTCCTTGAGTTGCCACAACAGGTAGAGAAGGAAAGGAGTCGGCGTGTGAAGTCGATCATGGAATCACTGGGTTTAATGAAGCTCAAAGATAGAAGGATCGAAGACTCGTCAGCTGACAACGGCTTGTCTGGAGGCGAGAAACGCCGCTTGTCGCTTGCGTTGGAACTCGTGTCGATGCCGAAACTATTTCTTGCTGACGAACCTAGTTCAGGTCTTGATTCAACGATGAGCAAAAAAGTTGTAAATCTGATCCAAAAACTTGTGCGGGAACGAAATATTCCTTGTATTCTTTCGCTGCATCAACCACGTTCGTCTATTTTCAAGATGTTGGACTCTCTCATTCTTCTGGGCCCTGGAGGATATGTCTGCTACCACGGAAAGGCCAGCGAAGCTGTATCATATTTTGCAAGTTTGGGATATCAGTGTCCGGAGCAAACGAATCCAGCAGAGTTCCTGTTGGACCTGGTATCGGTCGATTCGGAAGATATTTTTCAAGCGAGAGAGGATGAACTCCGCGTATCACAATTAGCAAGTTCGTTTGCTGAAAGCCAACATTCTATGGACAGCTTTGCTGTTTCGGAATTGAAAACGAAGAATTCCATTATCGAAGAAAAAGCAAAACTTAGCCCCTCTACCAAGAGAAGGGAGCAACCTTTTCGGGGGATCAGAAGATTTGGTCGGTTGTTGCTCCGTTCCTGGAGGCAAAATATTCGCAACTACCGTGTGAACCTGTTTCGCCTTGTCGCGTCAGGAGGCAATGCTTACCTATTTACCAGAATCTTTCATTCAATCAAGAAAGGAAGTTTCACTGCTAAATCTGTTGCAGATCGCGTTGCCTTGCTTTCGTTTGGTGTTATCAATATGAGGTTCGTTGCGAAGCAAATTGTGAAAAATGTATTCTTGAACTGCAATCAGGTGCTCAAACCTGTCCTTTTGAACAAAAAATTTCTTCGTCCTCACTATGTATCCGTCTTTCATTTGAATTCCGCATTGCCAGCATGATGTCACTCATGAAAACAATCGACCTATTTGCGAAAGAAAAGCCGGTAGTACAACGCGAACAGCAACGACGTCAATATACTAGTTTGGAGTATCTATTAGCCAAAACAATTGCTGAAATACCGCTCGACACGGGTGAGTGCTTCGCTACCTAATATGAAATGCAAAACCATCACATATTGATGCACAAGAGATGTGGAAATTATTGAAACTCACGGTTCTGAGCTGTGTTCTGCCTGTTGCTGCAGTCTTTGCTGTTGTATTCACTTTTACTCTGAAATCCCTTTGTGGACTTCGCATTGGGCTTGAAGCTCTAACTGGCGTATTCAGCCTCATGACTGCCACAGGTGCCTCGTTGGGTTTCGCAATAGGAGCTCTTAGCCCAACAGGCGAGACAGCTATGATAGCTGGCATACCAATCATGGTTGTAATGATGACGGTAGGAATCATCAACCCCGCTGGAGTCGACAAATCGGAACCCCAGCCAGTCGTAGTCGAAGCGTTGAAACAATTGAGCCCAATTGCACTTGCTATCAAAGCTCTTTGTTTGGCAGAGTATCGTGGGATGGAATTCTCGGATCCATTGCAAGAAAAGAATCATAATAAATTGAATATGTTTGCTAGAGGAAGGAGTCTCCTGCAAGATTTGCCAAAAATGGGCGCCCTAGCGTTAGTCCAAAATGGAGATCAAGTCCTCGATGAGCTTGGATTGAGAGAAGAAAAATACGATGGGACAATGAAGCATCTTGCAATCCTCTTATTAGGCAACTTATTTCTGAGTTGGATTGGCTTGAAGATGCATGTATCCTCAAATAGTAGTTTTACCTTTGATTCACAAAAGACGCGATATTAATACAACTTCTTGAGTACAATAATTTGTAAACTTGAAGAGTGTAGTTAAATCTGTCCAATTTTACTTTTTTTGGACGCGCACTTGTGATTTTATATTTGAAACTGGTAGCTGCTAATGCATTGGTAAAGATCAGATTGACAGCAGTACAATATTGTTGCTGAATGAGGGGGTTGCATATTAAACTTGTCACTCAAGAAAAAGTTGTGTATCATTGAAGTAGAGTCCAATGTGAAAGAGAATGGCACTATACTGTACAATATTTTATTTGCAATGCCCTTCCCCCCCAGGAGTTCTAGTATCTATTTAGTAGTAGATAGTACTAGTACTACTATTTTCTATGAGACCTGGATGTGTGTGGTCATGGTGGAGAACCATACTATTTTTTTTCTCTGGAGAAATATAGTATGCTGGCACAAAGGAGGGCCAGGCATTTAAAGTTTTACAAACCTGATTTCATTCTTAAAAATTTATGTAGATGTTTTGACTTTCATGGTTGAAACAAAAAAGCACATCTAAAATCAGTCATTGACTTTACTACAACTGATCTCCTAGTAGACAACACCAGTGTACGTTTCCATACTTCGCATTTTTTAGAACTGCAGAACCATAAAAAATGGGGGTTCCCAACTTTGCTTTCAGCCAGTCTCATAGATAGTATGTGGAATCATAAGTAAAATAACTGATAAAAACTGACAATGTGCAAGTAATTTGCTGGTGTCTAACTAAGTGCAAGGAGAAGCATCCACCTAAAAAATATTTGTGGGTTCCAGCACTCTAGTACTTCTAGATTTAGGTTGTCTGTGAGGAGGTCTGGAGTGCATTCTAGTAAGCAATCTAAAAATTGGATCTAAATAACCTTTTTTTTGTTCTGTCAGCCTTTCAAAGGTAGATTACCTACTAGATCAATAGGAATCACCCAATGGTTCTCAACCTTGTTGAGAACAATCCACAGACACAACGATCATGACTCACGATGGACCCATTCTGGTGTATGTCATTGTCCAGAATAGTATTGGTCACTAATCTGATCTTCTCCTTGAAGTTCTTATCTATTCTCCTTGAAGTTACTTATTCACAGTTAAAATGCCATTCTCTTCCCGTTTAATGGAGGATTCTTGTCCTACTAAAAACTTCCCATTATTTCCTAAAAGAAATGCCACAAACAGCCTACAGTGTCAGATACTTCTTTGGCTCCCTTCTGTCATTCCTGTTCACCACAAACCAAATTGACACATTTTTTTTTACAACCACCAGCAAAAACCAACCCCAGTTGCACCTCCACAACCACTCCTTGAATGGAGGCGCCACCCCTAAGAGCAGCTAGTACAAGCATTCATATCCCCCAAAGGTATGATTCTGGGCATATAGTACCCCTTCTAGTTCACAAGATTAAATATTGTACTATAKAGTTGGCATTTAGATCACCAATACAGTTATTGATTTTGGGCTATCTTTTTGCGTGTAATGACTACTTTGACAAAAACTAAATACATACAAAATGCACATGCTCAGTACGGTAGCAAGCAAAACTATTTGGTTGCATGGATCTGAGATTCAAAAATACAGGATGTGCCAGCTGTAAACTGCAGTACAAGCCAATTTTGAATCCCATGAGTCATTACATGGTAAAAAGATAGCCCAAAACCGACGCACAGTACAAAAAACACSTAGGGCAATAAGAGAACTTCAACTCACTTGAACCGATATCTTTTTCCCCAATGGACGCTTAAGTATGGTAAGCACATGATTAAAAAGAGAATTCAACGAGCTTTCTGACGCGGTGGGGGAGTAGGCCGTCCAACRAACATTGATCGATATACATGTACATATGTCCAGAATTGCTAATGTACAACTGGGTTGGCCAGAATTACTCTGCCAACACTATACGATAATATCAAGATTTTTTAACAAAGCTTCCCATGGTTCATTCTAACCCAATTGTGGGCATCCCACTTTGAAATCCATCATTGGGGGTAATTTTTCAAAAAAAAAAAATAATCCAAGTTGTAGTGCAATTAGCACCCAAGTTGTGGTGTAATGAGCACCTTAGAGTACAATACTAGGGACCAGTCATGAGCCCACCAGACTGGACCTACACATATGGACCAGACCTAAACATTGGTATGGGGCCCCTATATACTACCTACCACTGCATACTAGTACATACTACTAGTACATACTATACATACTGCTGAAGCATCAAGAATTCATATTCTTGATGACATCCCAATTCAACAGAACTTGCTGCTGAAGAACTTAGTAGTAAAAGACGCCAGCTATGCTCTGTTCTGAATCACCTGTAGATTCAGTGCTAGGATCTACAGGGATTAGGAACAACCTAAAGTGCTTACTATCTCCTGTAACACAGATTAACATGTGAAGGGATGTTAAGACTTTAGATACCAGCAAATAAGATTTATAGTAAGAATTTACGCTTTGCGCATCTTTTAAACTCAGTAAACGTCATTTCATGCATGTGGGTTAATCCATCAATAACCCACAAATCTGTTTATATCCTAACAACCCCCCCCCCCCAATAAAACAACAATACATACTTCACATTAATGACTTACTTCCTCTGTCTRACAATGACCATCCATTGAATCCAATTTTGCTGTCCATTTTTTAAAATCTCCTTATTTACTTAAAACCTATCAAATAGTTTCATTTAACCCCCAATAAAATATGACCATTTAGAACACATAGGATCAGTGCTACAAACTGGAAATATACACATGCTTCATTAACCATTATTTTATTTTTCATAGTATGAAACTACACACTATTGAGAATGGTACTGTGCAATTCGTTCAATACAAATGACCAATACTATGAGAAAGTAGGCCATACTTATCCAAAGTATGGCCTCTAGAATTACTTAATCTTGGCTATCATGTGCAAGTAGGGGCATATCAAAATGACTGTTGGAACCCTCTCAACCAGTAAAGTCAAAATGCCCTGATTGAAGGCTTACTCCAATCTACTATTAGTACAAGTCTAATACTAGTAGGGATAGTAGCACATAAAAACACTTTTGGACAAGATCAGTATTACAAAAAAGAACCATTCAAATTGACCAAAAATTGAGCTTATTTCTGAAACAAGTACGCAGCAACAGTTCGTGGCAACAGTACGTGGGATCAGTTGTGAATCCTCAGGACCAAAAACTATATAGTATATATATYGTATAGCGTGGGCCAAGCAAAAAAAGACGCACCAGTCGTACATTAGCAATTCAACATGTACGTAAACGTATATCAGTCAATATTCRTCGTACGCCGTACTCCCCCACGCCATTAGAAAGCTCTTTGAATGCTCTTTTCAACCATGTGCTTATTGTCTTTCTGCGACCGTTGAGGAAAAAGTTACAGTCCAAACTGTCAGTTCAAGACTGAAACAGTTATACGGTTAAATTATACGTGTGCGTGGATTACCGGCCATCTAATTACCGTGTAAAGACTACTTTGACTCAACGGATTTGAGTCCCACAACGGACACTTGGCAACTCACCAACAGACAAAGTTGCTCACTAAATTTGGCCACTAATCGTGTGAACTCATATCTTGGCAATTGCACTCCTTGATACAATTGTTCTGTTTCCGGTTTATCAGAAGGAAGTGTGACGGATGCATTTCCGCGTGCTTTTAACACAATGTGTTGATCCCATTTCTTTCTCTTAAATCGATCAAGAACAATACACCCTGTGACGGAGGGCACCCCTGCTAAGTATGKAGGATACTGCAAAAAGCAAGCAAAAACTGCATAATAAGCAAAACAAGCAAGATGAGCAAGATGAGCAACCTACACTAAAAACGCCGTATTTCCTAGTGGAAGACCTCCATAAGGATGTATATCGATACGCCGAGAGCTCTCCAGACTCAGTCCCTCCACGACGCACGKGAGCAGTCTTGTTTGGTTATCTTCATCCAAAGCAAAGAGTGAAGTTAAAAAAGAGGAGAGCAAAAACAAAGAAGGCAAGACACCAAGCCAGGTTGCTTGTATACAAAGGACCGAAGGCCTGTGCTCACAAGCACTGGTTGCCACGACGGAAGCTTGCAATCGTAAAGGGCAACATGGAGATGAAGTGGTATTCAGCAGCAAAGGCAAGGGAAGCAGCACAGTTAATAAAGCAACAACGAATTGACCTAGGCGTTGGATGGAAGATCCAAATAGTTATGGATACTTCAGTCTATCCCCCTGAAGCTCCCAAGCCCCCGCCACCAGAAATAATCGACAATACATCCCCGAAAGTACAGTTTGTGATGAATCAAGACTGGAAGTGGGTGGAGGAATGGGAATGGGACCAAAAGCCAATGCCATACAACAAAGAGCTGAATGACACCTGTGCTGGCTGTTTAAAGAAGACCTGTTTGAAGAAGAAAGATCTTGCAAAGGCAATAGAGCTTGCTAGATTCGCGAAGCCACTGTTGCCTCCGACAATGAGTGTTGGTGACAAGCACGAGTGGTTCTTAGAGATATAAAGGTCTGTAATGAAGAGGGAAAACAATGTAACCCCCTCCATCCAGTGTGCTAAAGAATTTTGCTTTGATGAGTGGGGACATCCCATGTATGATCAAAGAAGCTTATCCTTTGATTCAGCTGACTATGAGGAGATGAATCATACAGACGAGGCGGACGAGTTGGATCGTGAGAACCAGCAACCAAATCAGCAACCAAATAAGCAACCGAATAAGCAACAACCAAGAAATGAGTGTACTTTTCATATTTAAGGAAGAGTTTGCTGATATGGAGGAAGGAACCAAATGAGCAACCAAATGAACTGATACGATACGGAGGAATGAACCGAATGAGCAACCGAATGAGCAACCAAATGAGCTGATATGATATGGAGGAAGGAACGGAATGAGCAACCGAACGAGCTGCTGATACGGAGGAGTTTGCTTATACGTACTAGGAAGCCACCRAAGGAGTTTGCTGAAAAGGAAGAGTTTAGTTCATAGGTACGAAGCAACCGAATGAGCTGCTGATAAGGAGGAGTTTGCTGATACGGAGGAGTTTAGTTCATATGTAAGCAACAACCGAATGAGTGTACTATTCATATTTAAGGATATGGAGGAGTTTGCTGAGCTGCTGATGCGGAGGAGTTTGCTTATACGTAGGAAGCAACCAAAGGAGTTTGCTGATACGGAGGAGTTTAGTTCATACGTAGGAAGCCACCAAATGAGCTGCTGATGCGGAGGAGTTTGCTGATACGGAGGAGTTTGCTGATGCGGAGGAGTTTGCTGATACGGAGGAGTTTGCTGATGCGGAGGAGTTTGCTGATATGGAGGAGTTTGCTGATGCGGAGGAAGCAACCGATACGGAGGAGTTTAGTTCATACGTAGGAAGCAACCGAATGAGCTGCTGATATGGAGGAGTTTGCTGATACAGAGGAGTTTAGTTCATACGTAAGAAGCAAGAATAAGAAGCAATATAACTAGTTTTTCATTTATTACATATTTCATTTATTACACTGATTCTAATGATCCAACCACTGAGCTTGTTAACCCAGTAGTGGTACTATTCTCAGTCGGTAAAGTTACTTCACTGTTAACGGTCATGTTGCTTGGTGAAACAACAACACCAACACCATCACCATCACCATCACCAAAGTCAGTGTCCTCCTCATCATCCTCAATGTCCAATAAGTATTTCATGTACTCAGTGTTGTCTTCCAACTCTTCTTTGGTTGGAGGCTTCCACTTTGTGGTCCTATCTTTTAGCTTCTTGTCATTTCTTACTCTAGAGCAGTAGTCACCCCTCCCAAGTCCATGCTGAAGGATCAGTATTGGTGCAGCATCGGATAATTTAGGTAAATATGTTCATCGAGAATTTATTTCAAGCACTCCGACAGACATCATGACAAAAATTCCATAGAAAAAATGGTGTGTTCTGACAAGATTTTGTGATGTCAGTTGGCGCGCTCAACATATTTTACACTGGAAAAAGATGGCCCAAAATGTACGACTGAGACCGTACATTAGCTGGCCAATGCTATACGATAGTAGGTATATAGGTTGAAAGCTATGATATAGTACTACTAGTCTACTAGTACTATATACTATACTATATACTACACTAAATTGAAGCATCATATATATATATATATACAGTTCAGTATATATCTGTATATAGATCTACTTCCTCTTTGCTAGTTCTCAGAAGGAGAAATAGAATTCAGAACAGAACTAGTCGATTGGGAGTTCTGTTCTAAAGTCGCTCAGTAGAATCAGTACTGAGACCTACCAGATCCAAGAACTGTGGAAATGAGCTCACACTTGAAAAGTACTGCTTTGATGTMTATTTCTACTATTGATTCCAACTCAATGAATCCAGTATAACATGGGAAACCGTGTAGACCGATGGATTCCTTGAGTTAACTATTTTCCATTAGTTTTAGTCTCACAATCCTAATTTGGATAACAGTCCAAATACTACTACTAAAACAATAAAGTACACATTGTTTCGTGAAATTTCTGTACAACTATTGGTCAGGGAGGAGTCATCTTTGGATGGATGAGGAAGAAGTACAAATTCTCACGGCGGTACTTAACATCCCTGGTGGTTCTCCTCCTCTAAGTACAAATTACAGTACTAAACATCCCTACTAATTCTCCTCTGAAACAAATAGTGACTATAAAGTTGTGGGTTACTTGWGTGTTATTTTTTGCCCAAAGAAGCCACTTTTCTAAAATATATTTCTAAAATGTGGTGGGTCAATTTTCAACCCCGTGTGGTGATGAAAATGTAGCTTATTTTTTACCAAAAATATGTTTTTCTAGGGGAGCATTTCAAAATGGGGGAGGAGACGCACGTGGAATTTCCGGAGGGCTCAGTAAAAGTCTGTGGCACACGATCTTCCGACTCAGCGTACTGGTACGATAGTCAAAGATTCGACAGACAACTCTGCAGCATATTTTTAACCACATACAGTACTTCACTTTTTATCATGTGACAATATGGGTTTTTTGACAAACAGACCTTTGACCGGATTTCATGGGGAATTCATCGATGCGACAGAGCTTACTACCGGTACATAACCTACAACATAAAATCAAATAATGTGGATGCACGGTAGCCCCCGAGATGGCATGGAGTTTAATGCCCCAACGGTCATTTCTGTTTTTAAATCGGAGTATATCGCGGCATTGCAGTCTCATTTTTTACTGCAAATGGATCCGAGTGATCGTAATGCTATTTTCAAATTCCTAATTAGAAGTAATAGAAGTATGTAGGGTACGGGTACTACTCAAAAAAAAAAAAATCCTAAATTTTCCAGGTGGCAACATTTGGCAACACGCGACGGGAAAAAGTTAACAACTACTTGTACCCGTACAATTTCGTACGACTAAAATGGATGAAAAACGAACCGCTCTCCGCAATCAAAAACGTACGGTACCCGTACCCTTCTCAATCTGTCACAACCTCTCTACAGAAGAACCCAACCGAACCCAAACCGGATCGAATCATACGTCCTATATATTGATCCAGTTTAAAGGGAAAACCTAGAGAGGGGACAGATACTATGGAAAATAAAGTAGGCATTGAGGCTGATGTACAAAATGGACCCTCGGGCATTGATATCTCGATTATTACTTGTCCAAAGACCCTCCGAGAAAGGAACCGTCGCAAATCGGATATTGAAACTCTCGCTTCCACCATTGACGATCGACGAAAACATCGAATAAAGGTCACAACTTGGGAACGAAAAATGTTCCTCGGTAGGTGCTTAGATATTGCCAAGAAAGAAGGAGGAAATTTAAGCCGATTTTCTGTGAAAGAACTGGAAAGAGAAGTGGAAGAACTCAAAGAAAAAGTTGATCGGCGATCCAGAGCATCAGGTTGGGTCGACGAAATCTCTAAATTGTGTGGATATTGGAATCCTGACCGTAGCATGCTGAGGCTTTTCGCAGCAGGCCTTGATTACACGAAGAATTCAGACGAAGATGAATTTTATTTTCGCGACTTCAGCTTTTACTACACGGAGCTTGCATCAAAGTTCCGACTTCTGCGCGTTCCGGGCGTTTTTATTACGTTGTGGCTATTGATCTATTATTTAGGAAGGTATGGGATCTATAAAATGAGTTTGATTTGATGTTGTACTTTTTCACTCAACATTGATTGTTATCCAGCTGTTTTCTCACATAGTGCGCACTCTTTGCGTTCCAGTGCTGTACTTTTCTGTGGCATTATGAAGAACGAGAACGTGTGCCCGACGCAATCAGGATCGAATCACGACGGATGGGTAACGTCGATTTATTTTGCCTCCGTCACAATGAGTACTGTGGGGTATGGAGATGTGAGCCTATACTCTGATGGCCAAAATAAATGGATCACATTTGTAGCGATACTCTACATGCTGGGTTCTATGGCGATAGCTTTCACTGTCTTTACGAAGGCTGCAGAGATGACGTTCGATGAAATTAGTGGAAATCGTTTGATGTCCTTTTTCAAGAAAAGGATTACAGAAAATCCTGATGTCCCTCTCTACAGGCAAGTCCGTTGTCTCGTACTCATTCGGATTGTCGAATTAGTCTTTTATTTTGTGGTCCTAAATGGTGTTGGTGTAGGAATAGCTAAAATCTTTCTGGTAAGATCTGACGAGGACGAGCACCAGTGGAACTTGATGACAACCATATACTGGGCGGTTCAGACAACTACTACTATTGGTAAGCATTTGTATTTGAATTATTATGGTTGCAATCAATGCAAAGTGATTGTTATGTAATATATCATTCTGTCACATAAATTTGCCTTTTTCAAAAATCATCAATGTTCTAATCTTTTTTCTGGTTCATATTGAATCAGGATATGGCGACCTAGATATGCCATTCAATCTCCGCTGGTTCAACATTTTTTTTACGACGTTTGGAACTGCTTTTGTTGGTAGTGTCTTTGGATCTCTAGCTAGTCTTAGGGACGAAATCCATGATCATCRGAGATACTATGCTTGGAGTAGAAGGGAACTATCAAAGATGATGGTGAATGAGCTCCAAACTAATGACGATAAATTAGACCAGAACGAATTTGTTTTGGGATCACTTCTTATTCTCAACAAAGTGAAATCGAATGATATAAAGCAAATCATGGACAAGTTTCGCGAGCTTGCTGGTGATAAGGAGTACATTTCCATCAGTGAGATGGATCAAGATCAGACAACTGCTTTGGTGGAATCAACTGGTAGAAAAGGCGGAGTTTCAAAAAGTAACTGCGACTTCGTTGATTTCGGATAATGTGTTAAGTAGCATCTCCAAAAAGATTTTGGATGCAATATTATTCAAGAAATAATAAAAAAATCTTAATCTTATATTTAACCTCGCGAACTAGRAGAGGCACTATATGGCCAGAACCAGAACCTTTCCAGACTAGGGAGAAAAGTTCGTGCGTTTGAAAAGAAATGGTTTGAAAATTATAATGTTCAAAGAAATAATAATATCTTTTGTGTTTCAGGTTGCCAGCAGAAAGACTAAAGGGAGTTAACAGATTTAGAGCTACTAAATATGAGTTCCATGCTGGCAAATTATTTGCAATTCCTGTACAAACACGAGTAGTAGAAAATTGTAGCTCATTTTATAGGTAAAACCCATTATATTAATTGTCAATGCAATAAAAATACTTAAAAATTGTCATTTAACTTCTGAAAAAATTCTAGTGCAGAGAATTGTTGAGGGCCACACCAGAATTTATTCAGAAACTGAACCAATTTTGCCCATTGCTTGGCCTGTTTTTTTAGACATTGAATGTCATTATTTACTGACACAGACAGAAAGGCATAAGAACAGATCACCAACGTGTATCACCATCCTTTGTATCAGCATACTCCATTCTATCAGCAACCTCTTTATCAGTGCCCTCTGTATCAGCATACTCCTCTGTATTGGTGAATTCTGTATCAGCGTCTTTTGTATCAACATTGTCCTCTTATCAGCAGTGTCCTCTGTATCAGTGTTTTCTGTATCAGTGTTTTCTGTATCAGTGTCCTCTGTATCAGTATCACCTGTATCAGTGTCACCTGTATCCATGTCATCTGTATCAGCATACTCCTCCATATCATCACACTCCTTGTCTGTATGAGCATACTTGTCATCCATATCAGTGTCCTCCGTATCAGCATACTCCATATCAGTGTCTCCTAAATTAGTTGGTTGTTGGTTTTTTGAATAACCAATATTAAACTTGTCTTGTAGTACAAAGTCATCCAGTGGATCAAAGATTCAGGAGAATTGCTGACTGATCAGCACGCCAATTGGCATAGCATATTGACCCTTTACAAGCAGATTACTTCATGCTTCTTTGATAATACTGGTTCACTTGAAGAAATGTTTGGTTGTTGGTTTTTGTGCCAGTTGACTGAGTATTTTGAAGATGCTCCACAAACAGTTGCTCCTATGGTTGGGCCCAGTTATGAATTGAAAGAAGTGTGTCAGATTTCTTTTCTTTTTTCTTTTGGCTTTTCTTTTTGATTTTTTACTACTCCACCACATGTTTCCTTGCCCATTGTGAGGTGACTTGCCTTAATTGGCTTGGCAGTGTGCTTGGTACCCATTTCCTTGATAACTGTAGCGAAACTTGCCTTGTGGTTTGGCAGTGCACTGAAATGATAATGGCATGGTTCTCATCCATCCAAACTGTGACCCAACTCCTTTTATTTCCTCTGAATCCAGCCTCTGGCCTTCATTGGCCTGTCAGTGTGCATAGAACCTGGTGGCACCTCCACAAAACCTCCTTGGAGGGAGGTGCTGCCCCTCAGAGCAACTGGGAGCACTTTCCTCCCTAGTCTGGAGAGGTTCTGGTTCTGGCCATATAGTGCCTCTTCTAGTTTGTGAGGTTAAATATAAGATTAAGATTTTTTTAAAAGTGTACAGTCTATGAACAGTATTCAAACAGTACAATACACCATTATACTCTAATGACTTGGCAGATGCAATTTGTAGCCATGATCACCACCATGTTGCTGTTGCATAGGTGTTGTGGGCGTGAAAAGGGTGTTTCAGTGTTTCATTCAGGTGATAATTTAGATTGCGAGGTCAATGGCTGTCAGAAGGCTATATCATGCTCTGGCATAGCATCCAGTGACACTCACATGAACATGCTGCATACCATCTAGTGACACTCACATGACACTGGACATTGAGAATAGACTTAGGGGCAAAATAAGCTTCTCTGTGACATCTTGGTTCTTAGTGACAATGCAATGATACATGTGCCTGGAACCAATGACCAGTATACCAAAGGTATGCACTTGTTATGGTAGTTTGGACTAGATTATGATCTGGTCACAATGGTACATGAATCCACCAAAGAATGATTTGTATTTGTAGTAAATGGGATTCTTACAGAAATGGGGAAGACCCAATGACTTGTCAAAAACAGCCCATATGAGCATTTCACCCGATTGTGCATGTAAAAACTCATGTTCAGGTGATTCTGTTTTGTGCCCGGATGTGAGACAAAATCTCAAGCAAAATCTGAAACCAAATGAACTCCGAAGAAGTGTTCTGTATCATATTCTACTACACAAGTGTTTTGATGTTGTGACGCATGAAACTGAAGATGCAGAAGCTATGAAAGACTTTGCATTTACTGGTSGAAGCTTGGAAATATCAGACACTATGCAAAGTTGAATTTTTAAAATTGCATGGACCAAGAAAATGTATTTGGCCAGATTSTTGTTACTTTTCTCTTAAAGGTTCATGAATAATCTCTACATTCACCTCATCAATCAAGAAAAAGAGACTCTAGAGGAAGACTTATCAGTAATCACYGCAACAAATACATAGAGGATCTCAAGGCAACCAAGTACATTAAAGAGCAGTTCATCTGTTTTCTATCAGGGGCTGGTGGTACTGGAAATTTGGTTTGCAATATTTGGGTACTTTTTTAAACAAATTGATTTTTGTTGGAATGATGGATAATGAGCAATGAGATCCATGGATTTTGTTGTAATCTTGTAGTACATTTTTTGTTTAAGATGCTCTTTGTGGGGAATTTTGGGTTCCTTAATTACCCAACAATCAGTTGATTTGTTGACAACAACTGTGAGCAGAGTAGCTAGTACAGCCCCACAGTAAAAACACAAGTTTTATTGCTGTAATTTGGCTTGCCTATCTGAAGGGACCTACCCCATGCATTGAAAGTGTCCAACTGAATGTCTTTCCAAAGGTTGCAAGATTTGCCTTCCCAAGCATGCACTGATTTAAAGGAGGGGGCATGCAACTAGTAATCCTCCAGGGATAYTGGATGTCATTTCCAAACAACAACATTAGAAGCCATGGTGACAAGAATTGTTTGAACACGTTACTACTAATTTCTTCTTGATAGAAGGTGAGAAGGCGAGGTGATAGTAACAGAAAAAAGTTGATSTTTTGAAGAATAACAATGACACAACAACAAGGCACGCACAAATTGCTGTTCAGTAGATTTTGAGAAATGATTTAAATGTTTGTCCAACTGTAGACAGTACTAGATTTTGAGAAATGGTTTAAATGTTTGGACTGTAAACGGTAGGTTTTGAGAAATGAATTTGATGTTTTGACAGTAAACAGTAGGTTTTGAGAAATGAATTGAGGGCAACCAGTAGATTTTGGGAACAGCACTATAAAAAACAGTGTAAAAGCATGTTCACTGTGAAAGATACATGAGTGGAAGAGAAGGGACTCATAAAATTGGTTGCCAGTGGTTTCAAGTTCTTCTTCATGAGTGAAAAGGGTTATAGAATAGAGCTGAGAGGGAGGCCAGCTTGCGCTTTTTTTGGACTGAAAAAAGGCCACCAGTTTGTCAACGGAAAATGGTAAGTTAAMRTTCAATAGCACATGTCATACAGAGTTGGACGTTAAAAAAGAGTTGAAATAGATATGAAAGGTTGGTAGATTTTCAGTAAAGTAAGTTGTTTTTAATCATATTGGTAGATTTCAAGGAATTAGAATTTAGTATAAGTAGGTTTCCAGTAATGGTTCCTTGGAATATTTGGTCTTTCATGAATGTTAGTAGGAATTACTTTTTTCAAAATAAAATAGTTTCCTGTACACCCCATGAAACAAGGAGAATCAAAGAGAATTTTCTCCTTGTTGTTTAGAAGGGCAATATTCTCATTGTTTCTCATTGTTGTACTAACAAAGAGAAACTAAGAGAATATTGCCTCTCCTTGTTTCTCTTTGTTTCCCATTTCCCATTGTTTAAATAAGGAGAAACACAGAGAATATTGCCTGGGCAATGTTCTCTCTGGGTGGTGTTTCTCTTTGTTTAAGTACTGTACCAGCAGCAGTAGAGTGAATATAATCTGGGCACTGTTCTCTGTATTTTTACACGGTGAAATGATTATGGGGGCAATTCCTGTGCATACAAAGAGAAACAAAGAGAATATTGCTTCTCCTTGTTTCTCTTTGATTTCTCAATTTTTTACAAATTACAAAGAGAAACAAAGATAATATTGCCTGGGCAATTCTCTCTTTGTTTCTCTTCATGATTTAAACATGAAAAAACTAATGGGAAACCGCGACTATCTTCATCAAAAACTAACGGAGTGCCGTGTATGCTTTGTGGCTATTTGTACTGGCTGGTTGTAGTATTTGTTGGAATATATCGTCCTGATGTGTGCCAACCATCAATATTGGTGCGCAGTATCCAACAGCACAACCAGTGGAATAACATACATTCATGATTACATACATATTATACATATGCTGCACCTCCGGATAGATGATTTCAAGGGTATTGCGACCACAAAATATCACTAACATTCTTCAAGTTCCAACTACGTGGTCGCACATACCAATGCCATTAAGTACCGTTCCAATCATCCAATCAGACAACCAAAAGGAACAACAGATGAGCAAACAGATGGGCTGGTCAAATTACATCCRACCACATCAGTGTGCTCATTCTTTACTTTTATTTATCTAACCAACAGAGTATTCATTATTCTTTAAGGTTTCGTAGCGTAGCTATTGATTCAACATAAATAAAAATAAAGAAACAGTAAGCCAGCGTGATTAGGAAATCCCAGGCAAACGAACCACCTCAGTTGTTYAGTAACACTAACAGTTTCTTGTTGAGCAGTCCAACATAGGCCCTCCAGGAAAATCCTTATCGTTGAGTTGACTTTTCTGTCCTCCAAAACAAAAAAGATGAACACCATCAGTACAGCAGACTCCACAGATGGGCAAAATGCCACTAGCAACAGCCACGGCAACAACAGATCCCGGAACAGAAATAGGAATGGTAACAAACAAGGCTCAGGAGATCCAGTTCACAATGACAAAAAGTTCACCAGACTAGATCAAGATGAGCTCAAGGGCCTGATTATCAACA